CAGATTTATCATGTCATTAGGATTCCATCAAGATTGCACGAAGACTTAGAATTAATTAGTCTCATATCTTATAATTTAGAAAATCATATAGAAAATGTTAATTATTAGTTGCATTACAAGCATCATCCGCATTGCACATAGTTCATTAGATCACATTATAGTCATAGGATGTAAATTTGCTGTTTTCATAAAATAAAATATAAAATTAGCATTTCATAGTAGTTTGTATTGTAGGATTAGTTCATAGTTAGTCCTAGAATAGAAAATGCATGCATATTGAATTTATTGACTTTTGGGGCATTTGTCTTTTTGTTAAGAAAACGAACAAAAATACGTTAGAGAGTCTTATGTAGATTGCATTAATTAGGTTAACTATTTTTGTAAAAATCTATATTGCATGACATTTAGTAGAATTAATAGGAAAATTTATAATTAATTCTATGACATATTATTTAAAATTCATTATGCACAATCATGCATAACATTCATGCATCCTACATATGTTTCTAAATTAATAGTTGGCATAAAGTTCTTGATGACGGATAGTGATATGCTTTGCTTAGCGTGTCCAGGTTCTTTAAGTTTTCTGCAATCTATTTATTACTTTGATTATTGAGTATTATTTTCCTGATTGTGCACTCGCATGATCTTTCCTACATATTAGTGGCACAGGATAAAAGTGGATAAAGACTACATGCAAAATATTTTTGAAATAAATAGAAAAAGTACCGTAAGGGCGTTAGATTAATCTAGTATAACCGCACTCATGAATCTCTGGTTTGCAGCACATTTTGCTTGAGTGTCTAATCGACCCATAACTAATTAGTAGCGGCTCCAAAAGATAAGTTTAATTACATGATGAATTGAATACCAAGTTACGGTTGGTAGGGCTTGGGAGAGCCTGCCCTAAACGCGAGCGATGGCCTCGAAGGAGAACCTTCGTTCTCGTTTAGTAGTCCATTAACCTTTCCCTGGTGTTTCACCTTCGAGAAGGTCGTGTCACTGACCACGACGATGGCCAACGACCAACCACAGGTCAGGCTTGGCCTCGCTCGCCGACCATGGGTGAGCTCATCCCTTTCTTATGGCCGGTCGTCGGCGACCGGTAGAGAAAAAATGAAAATAAAAATAAAAATAAAAATAAAAATAAAAAATAATTAAAAAGAAAAAGAATGTGAAGGATCTTTGAGAGGAAAGAGAATGGCAAAAAGAGGAAATCATTTTCCCCACTTTTGAAGTATTTTTTCCATTGAGAGAAAATGCTTTCCTTAACTAGTTTATTTTCCGTGAACCAAATGCTGAAAAATCCGAAAAACATTTTCTTGGAAGTTATTTTCCGCAAAACGAATGGAGCCTAATTGATTGTTTTTTTTTTTCCTATTTTGAAACTAAAGTAAGTCGGTCAAAACTTTTGGCACTAAAGTGAGCGTCTTACAAAACTTTTGATACTTCTAGTGTCCTTATCCCAAAAACCATCACTACAAAAGCATCAAAGCCAACCATTCTCCTTCAGCAGCCTAGCCTTCTATTGAAAGTTCGCTGCGGGCTTTGAAGATATGTTACTCTCCCCGATTATGGAGGCCCAAAAGAAAGGACATAAATTGCTGTTTTTTTTTTTGGTCGAAGACATAATTTGCTGTTTTGGTTGAAGTGTGTTGCCAACGATTTCGAACCAACTAGGATCTATGTTCAATTAGGCTTAATTTTCTAAACCAGTTTTAACATGCATAAAAATTTGAGCAACTCATTTCAATAGGTCTACTAAATTAGAGTTATAATATGGATGGTGGCTGTCCCCGGGGCCTGGACGCGTCGAAATCATTTCAGTCCAATAATGAAAGGCATGCGAATGTACCGTCGAGCTGGTCCCAATCTTCTTTTTTCGCAAGGTTGTATTGATGCTTCTTTCGGTTTGGGCCACACAGTTGCATATGCAGATTCAATATCAGTTTTTTACTGCGGATTTTCCTCGATATGTCTCGCTAACTAAGTAGAACATAGAAGTTATAAAGTACAAAGCGTCATCAAATGTAACACCTCTTTTAGATTACATAATGAAAATGCGTCACAGCGGAAGATTACACGGTATAATGTTGTATATATTATATACTTCGGGTAGTGTTGTGCATAGTGAACTGCAACTCATTAGTTTTGAGCTTTGAGGTGCCTAGACTTTTTGAACAATGAATGTGATTATAATAGCACTTTACGAGTCCAAATCGGAATGTTTGATAGTTAAAATTATGGACACACTCAACCGTTCAAATGCTTTAACGTTCGTGAGCGAAAAGAATTAAAACTGGATTTTTCTTGTCCGTAAACTTCCCTTTGTTTCTGGGTCGTTTCAAATTTTTAACTCTCAGGTGTTATAAAAAAAAAATTTGGACTGTTAAGCTCACGCATATACCTAAATTTTAAAGGCATATTTTTATAACCTTAGAGAACTCGGCGCTTCCCGATCACTTTGTAGTTCCAATATGGTGTACTCTACTCCCATGCAAGAAACATGACAGATTTTTTGTCGCATTTTGTTGTAAAATTAATGCGGTAAATATCGGATCTTACAGATAAATTAACGCAAAATTACTAGAGAAATAAACGAGAAACAATAAAGAAACACCCGAGATCTACATGGTTCGGTCGGAGTATCGGTACTTACTTCACAAGTAAAGATAGAAGCAAATAATTCATTAATAATTGGAGAATCGGAGTTCTAACCGCCCGCATATTCGGAGTGTTTCTCCCATCCAGATTAAGACCAATCTCACACGGTGTTTACAAATTAGTAATTCAATTTGGATGTAAAGCTGACAGCATAATATACTCCCGAATCCGATGCGCCCTCTTCGTGCAAACCCACAAGAAGCGCTCTACTGTGCGGCTTCAGCATTTATTCTTTGTGCGGCCTTGAAAAGGAGAGCTATCGTGACGGTCACAAAACAATTGAAAGGGACGTCCACCTTTTTTACTTTCCTCTATTTACCCCCACAAATAAATATACACGTGAAATAAATGAGCCCCTTATTTTGTCCTTTAATGGCAGAGAGCTTCCTTCTTGTGTGGATATAACTGTGAGCCCCTTCCCTGAAAACCGGTCTAGGAAAGCGGATTTCCTAAGACATCTTCCTAGTTGAAGATGCATTGGATTGCTTTAGGATTGTTTTATAGAAGGGTTAATACCACGAAAAATCTTAAATTGGTACACTTGTGACACATTTATCCCAAATTATTTTTTTTACCATAAAAAACCCCAAACTGATACACATGTGACAATTTTACCTCGAACATACCACAAAAACCCCAAACTGGTACACATGTGACAATTTTACCCCAACTAATTTTTAATATTATTTTTTTATTTTTTTGAATTTTTTCTTTTTTTTTTCTTTTCTTTTCTTTTTTTTTTCTTCACTTCAACCTCTGGCCGGTCGCCGGTCCGGCGACCGGCCAGAGGCGGAAGCCGGCGAGGGCCGCCCTCGGCAGCCGCTGGCGAGGGCCACCCTCGGCAGCCGCTGGCGAGGGTCGCCCTCGCTCGACTCGGCAAGGGCGACCCTCGCCGGATCTAACGAGGCGGCCCTCGCCGCGTCGGGCGAGGCCGTCCTTGCCGACGTCGGCGAGGGCCGCCCTAATTCCCACTCCGGCAAGGGCCGTCCTCGCCCACCCGGGCGAGGGCACCCTCGCCGACGCGCGAGGGTCGCCCTCGCTGAGTCGGGCGAGGGTCGCCCTTGCCTAGGCAGCGAGGACGGCCCTCGCCCGACGCCGGCGAGGGCGACCTTGCCCGGCGCAGCGAGGGTCGCCCTCGCCAGGATCCGGCGAGGGCGACCCTCGCCCGTACACGGCGAGCGTCGCCCTCACCCGAGTCGGGCGAGGATCGCCCTTGCCCCTGGGCGGCGAGGCGGCCCTCGCCCGACGCAGCGAGGGCGGCCCTCGCCGGCCGCCGGCGAGGGCGGCCCTCGCCCGACGCCGGCGAGGGTCGCCCGACGCCGGCGAGGGCGGCCCTCGCCCGCTTCCGCCTCTGGCCGGTCGCCAGACCGGCGACCGGCCAGAGGTTGAAGATAAAGACAAAAAAATAAAAGGAAAAAAATAAATAAATAAATAAATATTCGAAAAAAATAAAAAATAATATTAAAATTTTAATTCAGGGTAAATTGTCACATATGTACCAGTTTGGGGTTTATTGTGGTAAGTTCAAGGTAAAATTGTCAAAGATGTACCAGTTTGGGGTTTTTGATGGTCAAAAAAATAGTTCGGGGTAAAATTGTCACAGGTGTACCAGTTTGGGGTTTTTTATGGTCAAAAAAATAGTTTGGGATAAATGTGTCACAAGTGTACTAGTTTTGTGAGACTCTCTCAAGAACAACTTGATCCGTTGATAACCAAAAATTGTGACCTAAGTTCAATGCAAACGAGGGTCCTGGTTCAAAACCACCTCCTTACAAAAATTTAGGGATTGAAATATCGAATCTAAAGGTCAAGGGCCAAACTGCATCAACCATCGTTCATGAGAAATATTGCGAACGTAAATTCTCGCGTAGAAAAGGTGTTCGTCGGTTTTTGCATGTCCACTGGCACAAACTTCAAGTTCTATAATTGTATATTATTACCATAAATTCATTGAATGCCGAACACCAGTCTCCCAGAACAACCAAAGAAAAATGCAAGTTGAAATCAGAATGGCTCGCCCTACATGCAATTATTTTTTCTACTGTGGTGAAAAGAATCGACTATACATACTACGGGAGAATATATTATATGAATAATTGACACCGACTCTTTATAACTCTTAAAGTCATCCAACTCTTTAATAAATTTTACAGGATATATGATTATGTCGACGATAGTGCCTCTTGATATGGTACGTCGTAATATCACAACTTAAGCAATGGTCATTAAAGCACACCAAAGTATTTTGTTACAACTCGATCTACAGCACCAAATTTTAAACAAAGAAACACTAGCATCCATTCCATATTGATCATGAAAAGCAGTAATTCCCTTGAAACTCGAGTAGACACGCGTGGATCGGTCCCCACTTTGTTTAATATAATAGCAAAGATATAAAGAAGCATCAGATCAACCTTAGCTCTAGCCAGGTAGAAAAAATATGGCTCAATCTCCATCCATCCCAAAGTATTTGCAAGAAGATGATATCCCTCAAGAATGCAGAGACCTCATTCCCTCTCTCCCCCGCGAAAAAGGCTGGGTGGGTACCTCCCTCCACTTATACCAAGGCTTCTGGATCACCACAAGCCACCTGAAGGGCGTCCTCGCTTGCCAGAGCCACTTCCGAGCCCGAGACACCGACATCCTCCTCGTAACTACCCCAAAGTCCGGCACCACCTGGCTCAAGGCCATCCTCTTCGCCCTCCTCAACCGGGCCAAGTTCTCGGATTCCCCAAAACAGCAACACCCTCTGCTGTGCCAAAACCCTCACGACCTCCTGCCGTTTCTGGAATTCAAACTCTACTTCCAGCAAGATGCTCCCGACGTCACCTCGCTCCCGCCCCCAAGGCTCTTCGCCACTCACTTGCCTTATCAATCTCTGCCGCTGTCAGTGAGGGACTCCAAGTGCAAGCTGGTGTACCTGTGCAGGAACCCTAAGGACACCTTCGTCTCACTCTGGCACTTCACCAACAAGCTGAGGCCCGAAGACAAGGGTGACAACTGTCTCCAAGAATCGCTCGACAAGTTCTGCCGAGGTGTGAGCTTGTGCGGACCATACTGGGACCACGTGCTGGGGTACTACAGGGCGAGCTTGGAGATGCCCGAGAAGGCTTTGTTCTTGAAGTTCGAGGACATGAAGGAAAACCCGCACCCTCATTTGAGGAGGTTGGCTGAGTTCTTGGAGTGTCCATTCAGTGAAGAAGAGATGAGACATGGAGCCGCGGAGGAAATACTGAGGCTGTGTAGCTTTGATAATTTGAGCACATTGGAGGTGAACAAGAGAGGTAAGTTGGCTTCAGGAGAAGAGAATAGGTCCTTCTTCAGGAGAGGCGAGGTTGGAGATTGGGTGAATCTCCTGAGTGTTGAGATGGCCGACAGGATTGACCAATTAACGGAAGAGAAGCTGCATGATTCTGGGTTGACGTTTTAGTGCATATAGCACACTCATTCAATAATTTCCGTGTCTTATGTGTCAGTTTCGAAGATGTGATTTGATGGTCAAGAAGAAAAGGTACAAAATGTCTGGAAAAAAAAAGAAACGACTTGATTGTTCGGACTTTCGGAAGGTCAATGTCCAGCTGGCTAATGAAATATTTTCAGTGGCATTTGCCAATAGTGGTTTCGTTGCCATAGTGAGATGCTTCAAGGTTGTGATTCTAGTCTTCATTTATGTTGTACTGTTAGTTGGCATTTGCAGATGTTATTTGGCCAACATGTAGTTGGCTAGTAAAAAGCTGCCTTCCTTCTTGCCGGGAGATGCTGGTTTTCATCTTCTGCTATTCTTTTCAGTTCCTTTTTCTCTTTTTGCTGTGTGAAGCTTCTTGGCATATTGTCTTCTATATGTATTGCAGTTGAATGAGTATTCTAGTTCTTATTTTATGTCGTTAGATAGATTGACTTGCTAAACAAATGATGTTGATGATGTGTCTCGGGGGAAAACAAAGACATCTCTATTTGGTTTTGTTTCGAAGCTCTGAAAAGAAGAAAGTTAATAATAAAGAAGAAAGTACTTATCAAAGAATTGACAGCCACAGACTGAGACTGTGCCGTATAGCTAGTGCATGCATTCATCCAGTTGGTGAGAGTCGGGCTGCGTCTGTGGTTCTGCATTCGCATGAATCTATCCTATCTCAATCATCAAATCATTGAAAACTCACGTGAAGCTCAAAGCTCACGCTATTCAAAGACTGAAATAAGACAGACTCACATAGTCACATATTATGAGTACGTACAAGATTTTTTCCCATAGCCCTCTCCAGCGGCCAGAGAGGGTAGTATTATATTAAGTAAATGGATAAGTTAAAGTCAGTAAATTGATCATAAATGAATTAAATATGGATGCTAAATGAGTTCACAATTTGCTTGGATCCAATTCACCTGACTTTCTCTCAATCTTTCGCTCATTCATTTCGTACTTTCACCTTAGTTTGGGCATGAGTTTTCTTAAATTGAGTTAAATATACAAGTGTTTTTTAGTAATATGAGTCGGGTCGGATATGTGTTGGGCATGAGTCGAGTCAGGTACTAATTACTATATTTGTATTGCATGAAAAATGGTCAAAATGGATTTAAATTGATCAATTTAGATTAAATCATTTTTAACTCGATTCACCCATTTGGCAGGTCTACGTGTATATAAAGAGCTCGTAAATGTGATAGTTAAACGACAGGCGACCTTCCTTCACCACCTTACCACTTGCTTGTCATGTTATGTCTTTCATTTCCACGTCCCTTTTAGTTTGTCCACGCTTGACACCTTTGACTTCATGCATAGGATACCCACTGTTTTCTCTTCTCGTTTTTTTATCCACTTGCATATCCAACGTGTTTTTACTTTTTATCTTTCCTCGGCAAAGAAAAAGCCTCGGACCTCATTCACCTCATTGTGGTCGAACTGAACATTGATGCCTCAATTAAGATTACATAATAAAAGTAGGCATCTATACTTTAACACCTCTAGAACAATATTTGATAAAAGTGGTACTGACAACTACTTAAAAAGTTGACATGTTATTCCAAAGGTAATTACTTGGCCTAAAAATTTGTAGTTTGCTCATATGAGTTGGTAATTAAGTGATCATACCGATTGATTACTTATTTGATAACCATAAAGTGCTAGGGACTTGTTATTAAATTCATTACATGTTGGTAATTACAAACCTTTAACTAACCTATTTGTAAAATTTAAGATAAGTTGGTAACATGCTAATCAATTGAATTTGATACTTTCATTACATAGTTGGTAACTTACTAACCACAAATTGGGGTCACTTGTACAATTTAAAAGAAGTTGGTAATTCACTAATCAGTTTGATGTTGGTAAATATATTTTGATATTGGTAACTTACTAGCGAAAGTTGTAAATTTTTTTTAAAAAGTTAGTAGATGACTTATTGATAACTTAAAATTCGTAATTTTCTAACCATGAAATTGCTAACGTACTAGTTAATTTGGCCATTGATAAGTTTATTACGATGTTGGTATCTTATTAACCACACTTACAAAATTGAACAGAAAGTTAGTAACTTGAAATGCTAAATATATTACAATATTGATAACTTAGCAACAGGTTGCCTGACAAGTATGTTACAGTCATACTTCTTTACCAAATTTTTTATATATACCAACAACTTTAAAAATCTACCAACCATCGAAAATATTGTACTTGTCTCCCCACTTGAAAGTAGAATTTGTCCACGTCGATAGATTCTTGCGAAAATGCACAAACCATAGCGATTGTTGAATATTTCATATGTTTCACCGAAAAGAGATTATGAAGTAACTTTTAAAATATGGATGGAACTATATGAATCAACAAAAATTGTGAAGAATCTTTAATTGATTTTGGACATGAAAGTAAATGACAAGAAATTTAAAGTATGAACATTGGGGACAATTTTTTCCAACAATGTAAATTGCAAGAAAGTAAAAATAAAGATAAATTTGCAGAAAAATGTTGATTTTTATAATTGATTCATGGGGCCATTATACTTGGGGTATGTATAATCCACAATTGACTGTTACACAAACGATTACCTAAGTAAGTCCATGAATAACTTCCTAATCTTATCTACAATTTACACTAAGTCCACCATTTTGACGATTACATCGACTCCATTTCCTTGATGGTTATATCCAAGATTGTTGACTCCATTACTTGACGGTCAAACTCCACTATCTTGATGGTTACATTGACTCCACTACCTTCACTGTAACATGCCGGTGTCAATAATCTTGTCGATCGGCAAAGGCTCTTGTCGATAACTTATGATGTCTATTGTCGATGACTTCACTGGCGAATTTATTGATTTCCTTCGTTGACTTCTATTTTGACCAATCTCTACTCTCATCGACTTAATTTGTCACTTGTCGATAAATAACCAAAAATTAGTCATTTTTTTGTGTCAACAATGTCATTTACCAATATTTATTTTGACCACCTATTAAAAATGTCACATATATGCATTTTGACTACAACTAATCAATGATAAGTGTTTGAGGACACAATTAATCGTGACCTTGTCAATATCCTTTTATTCTGTATCACAAGGATGTGCGAACCTTCCTCGTTGAATAACCCCAATAGTACATACTAATCAGCACATCTTATCCGCTTGCAACATATACGGCTCTACCTAAATAAAGTAGTGTGGCTCTTAAGGATTTCTTTAAGTGAGAGACGTGACTCCAATCCGGGATTTAAATAAGTTCAAATAAAGCTTTTAACCATTCAGCCGACTTCTTGAATTAAACTCATCAATATATTTATCAATTGGAAAAAAATTTCTTATCAGGGCATTCTTACAAGAGAGTTCAACTGTCTTGGTTCGACGAAAGCAAGGTCTAATTTGATCAACAATGTTTATCTTAGTTTGATTTCAATAGAATAAGCCATGTTCCTATAGCTAATTATTTATTGACGTCAATTATATTAATTTAAACAGAATAAGCTAGATTCCTACGGCTAATTATCTAAGCTTGTAGGTTGGACATGAGAGATTTGGTGGGACTATGGTCCTACCAAATCCCTCATGGTATCGGAGCTGGAGGTCTTGAGTTCAAATCTTTTTAGGCCCCATTTGCCTCCCCAATTAAATATGCTCATGCTTAGTACCTAGGCAAAAGCCCAGACTAAGCGTGATGGAGAGTGTTAGAGTAATTAAATATTAAATCACGCCTTCATTTAACAACTTAAGCTTTTGAGTTGGACTTTCTAATAGGATCTATCAATATTATGGTACAATCTGTCAACTATATTCAATTGTTTATGAGGTCTGACTTTTTGGAATTGGCGTGCAACTCTACAATCGGGAGGCCTAGGCCCATCAAGTGTTGTTGTGTCGGCTTATTGCCTCTCACTTGTTACCGAAAAGAGTCTTTAGGCGAGGCCTGCCGTGATCACATGGGAGTCATGACTATTTTTTCAAGTTTTTCATACCCCTGTCTGAAAAACAAAAAAAGCAAAGAAAAAAGAATTTATAGGTACAAAAGTGAAAGGAATTATGGGCCCGTTTGGTTCGACTTTGAGGGAATGCAAATACCTTTGGGCTAAAGGGGTTTTCCGAAATGCAAGTAGCGTTTGATAAGTGTTTTATAAAAAATCAACTTAGGTTAAAGGACTTTTGCTATTTTTTTTTTTTAAAAAAGCTCCGGTGGAGCTACACCGCCGGCCACCGCCTCCGGCCAGATCTGGTCGCCGACCAACGGCCGACGGCCAGATCTGGTCGCCGGCGACCACCGCCCGGGGTCGCCGGGACCTCGGGCGGTCGCCCGGGTCGCGCGACCCAGGCGAAGCGTTACTGGTCGCGAGACCCAGGCGACGCCCGAGGTCCGGCGACCCAGGCGGCGGTCGCCGGGTCGCGCGACCCTCAGGGCGACCGCCGCCGGGGGGTCGCGCGACCCCGGCGACCGCTACACTGGGTCGCCGGACCTCGGGCGTCGCCGGGTCTCGCGACCCAGTCAACGCTCGCCCGGGTCGCGCGATCCAGGCGACCGCCCGAGGTCCGGCGACCCCAAGCGGCGGTCACCGGGGTCGCGCGACCCCCAGGCGGTGGTCGCCGGAGTCGAGCTAGCCCTCAGGCGGCGGCCGCCGGCCGCCGGACCTCGGTTTAGGGAAGATGAACAGTGTCGATGAATAGTGCAAGTTGCATTCCGAAAATGCAACTTCCCAAAGCACTTTCAAAGGTGCATTGGCCAAAGGTCCCTTAGGAAGCATTCCAAATGCAATTGCATTTCCCCAAAGTGAGTAAAAAAAATTGCCAAACGCCATTTGCATTTGGCCAAGGGACTTTAGAGGCCAAATGAGCATTGGGAATGCTGAACCAAACGGGGCCTATGTCACAAATAGTCTTTGAACTTTGACTCGATATGCAATATAGTCAATGGATATTTAATTTGTTCAATGTAGTCCCTGAACTTTAACCCAATGTGCAATGTCATCCTTAAAATTTTAATTTGTTCAATATAGTCCCTAAAATTTGAGTAGATGTTCAAGTTAATCCCTAGACTATATGAACATGTTCAATGTTATAACATTGAATATGTATCAAAAGTTCATAAACCATATTGAACAGACTGAAGTTCATGGACAACATTACTCATTGGGCTAAGTTCAATATATTGAACAAATTAAAAGTTCATTAATCACATTAAACATACCATTTGCGTCATTTTCCCAAAGTGAATTCATTCTCTCTCTTATTATGGCCATCATTGTGCAGTGCACTCTGTAGGGCAACAAACATGTGGGAAATGAGAAGCGGGCAGCTCATCAAATCCCCCTTTTGTCAGATAATATGTATATAGATACTACCAGATCAATAGTCTCAAACCAAGCCTTCTTCTTCTTCTGCTAAGATCAAGAGCCAGCTTAATCCACC